TCTTTCCCTCAGCCCCGCACTCTGACATCCAACAGGAAGGCCTGTACTCTCCCTCCTTGGCAGCTCTGTTCCTCCACCTTTCTGATGGCCTCCGTCTCCCTGGCTTCCTCAGGGGCCCCTCCCCGCCATCACGCCCCACGTGTCATCTTGTCCCCCTTCCACCTCTTCAATTCCCCAAAAGGAACTAAGAACGTTTTAAGGTATTATGGAAAGAACTGCTCGTTTTCATGGGTTCCTTTTGCTGCCAAGTTATTATTCACTCATTCTGCTTCTAGGCTTCGTATAGAGGTAATGAGGCAGTCAGACTTGCATATATTTAAAAACCTAAATTATTCTGATTTCTCAGTTGGAGACCTCAAAAGAGTTTCACATGATCTACAGTGTAATTAGTGGCAAGTGATACTGCTATCACACTACACTTGAGAAAACTATGACTCATAGATGAAATTAGTTTTCCAAGATCACACTGCTTTTACTCTGAGGAGATACAGGAACTGAACTCACATCTTTGGTCAGGCAACATGGTCCAATTCCAGTAGCTTCTGTCTTAATAAACCCTTGGATCCTGTACTAATTCCAATGGAGATTGAGACTGAACTATTTTCAACATCGTTCTACTCCCCAGATCCCCACCTTGCCTCTTGCACTCCTGTAACGAAACAGAATACTCTACCAACGGAGACTGAGTTGGACTACTCTGAACATTGTTTTACCTCCTCCCATCCCCACTTCCAAAATAACCTGGCGATCTCCAAGTCTTCAGTGCAAACCTTCTCACTGGTTTTAGAAGGACAATATAGCAGATTGTATAGTGAAATGTAGCCAGCACCTCCCTGAAAGGTCTCCATCCAGGGTGCAGAAAAACAGGGATCTTCACTACACTCAGTTGAAATTTTTGAAATGACTAGAATAGAAAGATCAAAACCTAAACTATGTTTTTTTTTTTTTTTTTTTTTTAAAGCAAGGTACCCAAATTAAGAAAATGGGTGAATATTTCTCTACAGAACATGTACAGAGATCCTGCAGGTCATGAACGGCCTTTGCCCACAGCGTCTCCTGCTTCTCTGTGATGCCCACTCCTGCCCTGTCCCCCACCTGGCTGTACCATGACCTGGCCTGGTGAATCCTGAACTAGCCTCCTCTTTCTGTTCCCTTTCTTACTTTAGATATAGGCTCTCCTGTAAGTCATCTTGCCCCAAAGAAAACCAAAAAACAGATTGTACTTGGGTTCAGACCGCTCCACGATCTATTAACTCTGCCAAATATTTATGCCCAAGAACCTTTCTTCTCATTGTAGAATCCAAGGTTTGTTCTACAGGTTAAGGGATTTTAGGCAAAAGCAAACCAGCACAAGAGAGCGGGCAGGGGCAGGGGCAGGGGCAGGGGCAGCCTTCCTTAGACTTCTAAAATAATATTCCTTTGGTTGGTCTCAAAGCCATGCTTGCTGGAGGGGCTTGGGGGTGGGCCGAATAGAGGACAACCAAGGCCACTCATTCTGTCTCATCCTTGTGCCACAGCCCTTGTCTAGATGTCCCCTCCTTTGAGGCCAAATGTAATGGCCGCAAGACCATTTCCCATCCCCAACCTCCAGAAAGGCCCTAATTCATCTGTGCAAAGCCAGCCTCCTCAAAGCCAAATTTAAGGGCATCTCTAGGTCTCTCTACCAACAGAAATCTCAGGCTGACAGCTGGGCTTCATGAAAGTCAAAATCGGCCTGGGGAACTGCACACTCTATACCTCAGAGGCCCCGAGGCCACTGAGAACAGGAGTGCAACTGAAACAGGCTGCGGCCTCCTGCCCAGCCCTAGGAACACCTTCCTCCCTTGGAACTAGGCCGTCTTCATTCTCTTCCTCGCTGCTCCCACTGCAACTTCCCCCTTAGACTTCTTTCTTTGGCTGGCTTTTCTCCTCGTCTTCTCCTTGGGTCTCCGTGTTCATTTCACGTAGCTTCCCTCTTGGAGAAGGCATCTGTTCCCACGGCCTCCAACATCGTTCTTGGGCAAATGACCACACACCTGGAGTCCAACACTCACCCAAGCTCGGTGCCTGTCAGATCCAACTGTCCACCTTGTGTCTGCTTTAGAGGGCCCGCCTCCCCTCCTAGCCCACCACGTCCACAGGTAAACTCATCCTCTTTTCCACAAAGCATGCTCCGCTCCCAACCATCCCTCCAGGAAGCTTGAGAAGTCAGGGCCACCCCTTAGATCCACACCTGGCTTCCTCCTCTCCATTCCAACTGCCACCATCTTCATCTAAACTCTCTATCGCAGTCTCTGCCCCCATCTGCTGCTTCCCATCACGGTGAGAAAAACCTCCCTTAAATATCAACCCCTCCGTGCTCCAGAGCCTTCCCAAGGAGTTCAGCTGTGCCTTATCTCACAAAAGCATCCACGGAGGTTACTCAGCCAACCAGTTTGCAGACTGCGCTCTGATCAGTCCTCCCAAGAGCTACCAGGAGGAAAGGGAGGCACGAGAGCGGGCAGGGCAGGCCCCTCACCTGCTCCCTCCAGGGCAGCTCTGATTTCATCTCTTGAAAGTTCAGGTGGGTTGCCGGCGTGAGGCTTAAAAACTGAAGAGCCCTTGCAACCCATGGAAAGATCACTCCAGTATCAGCCCTGACAGGTGGTCGGTCATTCAGCCTGTCTTTGGACAGTGACAGGGAGCATATTGTTGCATATTCCAGCTCAAGTCACTGTGGGCGGTGAGAGCTCTATTAGAAAGTTCTGCTCAGCCAATACCTGCTTTTCTGTAACCTCCACCCAGAGGCCTGCACTCAGAACTAATAGAGATCAGTCCTAGTCTTTACCAAGTGACATTAGAGACAGTCCCTGATCATGTTTTCCATCATCACACCGATGTTTGAATCTGGAAGCACTTCACAGCTTCGAAGCACGCGTATGTCCTCTGCAAAAGATCCTCTGAGGCAGGAAGTATTAATTCCGAATCCTCCCTACCTACATGCCCCTGTTTCCCCTTGTACCCTCACTCAGGCTCTGGCTCTAATGAAGCCGGTGTCCTGACTCATCCAGCGAAGACCAGCTCTGATCTCCAGGACTTCACGTATGATCTGGTGCTGGGGAATGTCCACCAATATACTGGAGAGTCCCCCGAGGCCTGGATCAGAGCCCACAGCTTCCGAGAGGCTGAGAGGCACTGAGGGCAGTGAAAGAGCACAGGTTCTGAGGTTGGACTAACCTGGAATCAAATCCCAATTCCATAAAGTGGAGCAACTCTGGGAAAATTACTCAACATCTTTCTGCCTCCATTCCCACATATGCAAAAGAGAGAAACCCTGCCCATCACAGGAAGAACTAAATGAGATAATAATCAGAGCTGAGAACCGGGTAGGGGCTCCAGAATGTCAGCTACCACCTGGCTGCTTTATCCACCTCTGTCCTTAATGATCTTGGCCTTGTGACATTTTCTGAAACACCAATATGCTCTGATGATGTCCCATCTCGTACTGCTCACTACTGTGTTTCTTACTCTTATTTCCTTAGACAGCCAGTTACCTCCACGCAGGCAGGGCTTAGTTCAAGTAAAAGATGGCTCACTGAGTGCACAGCATATACTCCCAAAGAGAACATCAGGGGATACAGGGGCAGCATTTCTGCACATATTACATGGTCAATGAGCTTTGGGTCTCCCAGTTTCAGGGAAGCTATTTAGGAAGGAGACAAAGAGCACGGAGATAAATTGCCTGAATAGCCCAAGAACTATTCTGACAGTGGGCCTGCACGCTCTCGACGTCCTTTGCTAGTTAAAACTTCAAATAAATTAACTCTACTCCAATAAAAAAAAATTAATTAAAAAAAAGGTTAGGATTTCTTCAGGTATCTTAAAAAAATTCAACTTGAATTAAAGGAAGGTTGGGAAGAGCTTGTTTTAACAGCAAATTTTCAAACCTAGTTACTTGTATGTTACTACATACAAGACAAATTTTCTCTGCGGAAGAAACCAACCTAGTCTATCCAGTTGCGTATATATATATATATATATATATATATATATATATATACACACACACACACACATATATATACAAACAGAACAGAAAACTCAGACCTTAGGTGCTTGACAAACAATAAAAAGTAATGTATTAATAGCTCAGTAAGGATAAGGTTCTTTATATATATAATTCCAGACAACCTAGAGAACTAACTTTGAACCACTCTACAGAAACATTAACACTATGCAGTCATGAACCACAGAACTTGGGGAGCCTGCTCGCCTTATCCACGTTCTGAGGCTTCGTCATAGGACAGATGCGAGTAGATTTAAATTCAAAAGTTAGGCTGCTCTTATTTCCGATGAATCACCTGTCTTCTGCTGAAGGAACAAAGTCTCTATGAGGGCCATGTTTCGGATACTGACCATGTCTACATCAAAGGAGGATTTCTCACTGTACTCTCTGCTGGGCCCCACGTGGCTGCACCTAAGAGGAAATCTCTCACTTGCTTCCCTGGGTCAGTGTGGTGTCTGGCCATGTGGAAGACACTGCCATCGGTGATGTGACTGCAGATGTCCTTTACTTACAAGAACACCACGTGTCATCAATTCTAAGGTGCACATTCCTCACATTTCCACACCCCTGAAATGGGACCTGCCTTCTAATCAATTCTGTGTCATGATTTCACTGCAAGCAGTTTTTTCTTGCTTACAGATACATAAAATAATGGTGCATCTTCCAATCGATGGCATCTGATATTCAGTGAAGTCTGGTAGTTATGTTTGAGCAAAGCTGGTTGAAAAGTGAACATCTGTTACTCCATTTTCATTTCTCCATTAACTGAGATTGCAAAATTAAATCTGCATTCTAAACCCCCCCACTCCCTCCTCCCCATATATTACATTTATTTATGCATCTATTTAGTCAACAAATACTCATTCATCTATTCAGTGATCATATATGTATTAATTATCTGTTCTGTACCAGGCACTGAGCTAGATGCTGTGAAGCTAGTAGCAAATATGATATAGTTGTACTTAAGATTATAGCAGATTCTTCAAAATCACATATTTGTGGAAGTTACACTTTTCTGACAATAATAATAATAATACAACAATAATCAGAATGTAGGCCCTAAAAAAATCCAAACTGTGGGGAACTTGATACAACAAATAACAGGGTTTTTTCATTCCAAGAAAAAAAATAAATTTTTTTAAAGTAATCTAGGGGAAAGCTATAGGTTAAAAAAACTTAAGAGACATATCCAAAAATCACAACATGTGGACCTTATGTGGATCTTGATTCAAGTAAACAGACTGTATCAAAATTATGACACTTATGAGACAAATTGGAAATCTGAACACTGACTGGATATTTGATGTTTTTGAGGAACTACTGTTAATTTTTTCAGATGCAATAATGATACTGTGTTATTTTTAAAGAGTGTCTATCTTTTAAAGATATATACTGATGTAGTCATGAAAGAAATAAGATATTTGGAATCTGCTTTAAAATATTGAGCTGAACCATATGAAATTGTTTTTGTAAGTCAAAAATGATTGAACATCTGCAGTTTCATATTGGATGTATGGAAGTGGAGGGAGGTACTAATGAAATAAAATGGCCACGAGCTGATAAATGCTGAAACTGGGGTGACGGTCTATGAAGCATGTTTAACTCACTTGCCTCCTTCCTGTGTATAAAGTTTTTCCATAATAAAAAGTTATAACAACAACAACAAAAAAGTTATAACAAAATGAGGCCTATACTATGCTATATTTAAAATAAGTCACCAACTGAAAATACTGGAAGTGGAAACTGGAGGTCTCACTGCTAAAACACTCTAGCTAAAAAATTTACTTTCCATTGCAGGAGTAAATGTGTCTGAAACTTTAACAATTTACCTAAGTTTTCCCTCTACCTTCACAAGTCAAACTGAAGTACATATTTTTGGTATTTTTTCTGATTACTTTGACTAAGTGGCTTGCTTTTAAACATTGTACTGTCTGGGCAATTTGGTTTTTCCTTCAAGAGTTATTCTAGAGTAGAAACCAGAATGCTTGGCATCTCTTTTAAGTTCAGTTCTAAATAACCGTGTGAACTTGGCCACATGTTCCACTGCCCTTGGGTCCATGTCACTCAACTCCCTCGAGCCTCTGTTTCTTCATCTGCAAACAGGGCACAGTGAAACAGACAATCTTCTCTCTGATGGTCTATGAGTCTGGACTGTAGTGTCTGCTCTTTGCCTAGCAACTTGAGCTCACCCTCGATTTTGCATGGGATATTTGGCAGTTCTCTGGCTATTGAACAAGGGCCACCTAATCTACACACAAAGACGCTCACACTGCAGTGGGTTTCAGACTACACAGCCCACTGAAAAGCTCACCCACACAAACGCATCCCTACGGAAAACTTCTGCAAGTTATGAAAGCTGGTTCTATAGTGGAGCAGGAAAAAAACTATTGAGATCCACACGAATAGAGGGCTTGAACAGACCTCTGTCCCCAAACTAATGGCTTGTCATGGGATATATGCATACATACATACATGCATGCATACATACATTCATACATACATACTGGGTTGGCCAAAAAGTTGGCCAACACAATACATATATATAAATATAGGTAATACATTCTAATGTAAGTATATGCTATTTGATATACTTTTAAAAATATTTAATGGCCTGAAAATATACTTAATATCATCAGATAGTAGCTGGTAGCTGGAGCTTAGCTGGAACTAAGTGACATGCTGGCAACAGTTGCAGGGACTAGGTGGAGGCCTGAGACTGTCAAGCTCAGCATATGGACTTGTGAGTTCATTCATAAGTTGCTCAGGGAAGTTGGATGAAGCAGGGGATGGGTGTACTTGAGTCTACCAGTGGGTACATGCCAAAGAGGAGACGTGTAAAGCACATGAAACACAACAGCAAACGAAGCAAGATTAAATATTTCACAGAGGTCACATCGCTTATTTTTATGAGACAGAATATGAATCATTAGTACGATCACAGCTCTGGCCTCCTCTCTGGACAAAGATTACCTTGATATGCTTCACTCTGTCTTCTTTTTCTGTCTTTGGTTTCTTTCCTGTGGCAACAAAAATAGTTCTGGATTAATTCATGAAGAACAGAGAGGCATTTTCCCTAAGTTAAATTCTTTCTGAAACTCTCAATGAACTTATTGCTTTAATCTGTACATGGCCAAGATCCCAAATGCTTCTTTGACTGCTTTGCGGGGGCCCTGAGAGTCATTTTCCCCAGCCAGGTAAGAGCAGAATTATCATCCACAACGGGAACAAGGGTTGTATCCTTGCTGTGACTACAGATGTGGAAATAAAGAAATCACAAAGGCACTATAAGGTATATCAAGCGATCGTTGTGTTAGTCAGTACCTATCGTTATCTACCTTTCTTAGAAGGTCGTTCAGATAAAGGCAACATTCGGTAGACTCGGAAGGCGTTGTTTCCTTTCTTTATGCTTTTATCTTTGACTTCTTCAATGTCAGGCAGAGAGTTCATGGCGCATCGAAAATTCGCCTTCCATGTTTTTGGATCAGGTTTATCTACTCCTGGTTGATGCTTTCCTAACAAAATAGTTGAAAGAATTAAGATTAAGAAAAAGAGGGCAAAAATTATTTCTAGAGTAAAAATTTCTGGAAACAGGACTGCTGGCAGGTAGTACAGAGAACCCTTTGAATTCTAGGCCACACCTACAGTGAGCAAACCTCCTGGTTTATTTGGGGCTGAGCAGGTTCTTGGGATGCAGGAATTTTTGTTTTAAAACCCGACGGTTCCAGGCAAACTGGGACAAACTGGTCACCCTGGCTCTACGAAATAGCTTGAGAGAAAATTATAATGGTAGAGGAACGGAGAATCAGGGTAAGGAAAAGACAAAGCTAGGAGGCCAGCAGACCGACAAGCACAGGCAACTGGAAGGTCTCTTTTTCATCTGACTCTCAAACATTAAGTAAAAGTCCGTTCCTGCAAATAGCTGGCTAGTTAAATTTTGTTATAAATAAATATAATCTTGACTACCTTTGGGGGAGATAAATTTGACCCAAGTTTATACGACGCAAAACAAGTAAGTTCTATATTCCCCTGGCACACACCTGGGGAACTTCATCAGAAAACCACATTTACAGGAAATTTAAGGACTAAGTTTTCTATGGAATGGGTTGAGCATCACTTCTTTTTTTAAAAAATAAATTTGTTTGTTTGTTTGTGGCTGCACTGGGTCTTTGTTGCTGCACACAGGCTTTCTCTAGTTGTGGCGAGCAGGGCCTACTCTTCGTTGTGGTGCGCAGGCTTCTCACTGCGCTGTCTTCTCTTGTTGTGGAGCACGGGCTCTAGGCGTGCGGGCCTCAGTAGCTGTGGCTCGTGGGCTCTAGAGAGCAGGCTCAGTAGTTGTGGCGCACGGGCTTAGCTGCTCCGCGGCATGTGGGATCTTCCCATACCAGGGCTCGAACCCGTGTCCCCTGCATTAGCAGGTGGATTCTTAACCACTGCGCCACCAGGGAAGCCCGAGCATCACTTCTGAGTGAGGCAGGCTGTACCCCACGTGTACTAGATGTGCCTAGGAAGAAGTCCCAGGTTTATCAGAGCTATTTTCATGAAGTCATAGGCCAGGAGGTTTTATATATGTAGTAAAAATAAACGATAGCTAACAGTCTACAGTATAACTGAAATTTGCCAAGAGAGTAGAACTTAAACATTGTCACCAAAAAACAATGTACACTTTAAATATTTTGCAATTTAATTTGTCACTTATACCTAAAGGCATGAAAACAACCAAAAAAAAGCAACAGTGCCGGGCTCTATAAACAATGCGGGGTTAATACCTGTATGGATGGCCCAGTTTCTAAAGAGCGGTGCATCTTTTTCCACATCCCACCCATGTCTAGCTGCATGCATCCAGGGGATCTGAAAAATCTTCTTTTCCTGAAAAAAAAATAAAATAAAATAAGCACTGCAGCCCTGGGTTTCAGGCCACCATTGCAGAGGATTATAGCTAGTTCTAGCTAGTAAGATTCCCTGCTAAGTATCACTGGGTTTGCTGAGTATCTACTGTAAACCAAACCCACTTCCCCACTGGGCCCCAAACCTTGACAGTCTACCAGGTGAGATTGAGAGGCAAGTGGAGTCTGGTAGGATAAAAATAAATTCCAAGGTCAACGGTGATGATTTGGGAAATGCCAACGTGCCTCCTTTCCTTTATAGAAACACAGGTAACTGGCCATTTACTGAAATTTCTAATGCTTAGTCTTATGATCTACTCCCATCACTTGGTAAAGAGGAACTCCTTCTGCCTATGGTAAATTAAAAATTAGGCAACTCTCCAAACGAACACTCATTTTGCTACTAAAGGGAAGTTGGGGGTGTCTGAGGCCATTGTCACAGAGACTAATTATCTCAATCTGCTCACGCAGCCAACAGAAATAAAAGATTTTGTTCTAATCCCTATGTGTCTACTACCCTGCATGAAATAGCAATAAATACAAACAAAGATGTACCAATTATACGAAGATGATACTCCTTTTCTGGAGAGAAGTCCCTCAAGTACAGTTCTTCTTATAGCAGACCCTCTCCATCTCTCTTATATCCCAAGAGGTAACTCAAAATTGCTTAAAATCAATCCTGGCAAACACATGATTAGAAACCAGTGCTTTGGAAACAAAGTCACACTTGTAGTAAAACTACTTATGTGAAACTTGGTTCACTTGGCATGTTCACATGGTCTCAGTTTTGGTTTTTGCAACACCCTAACGAGCTGCGTGTATGTTATTTTTTCCACTTTACAGTTGAGGAAACTGAGAAACAGAATTAAATTTTCTAGCCAAGGAACTTATAGTAGTATCTAAATTCGTAACTGAGGTTGTGTAATCCCATATTCAGTCACTTATTCATATCACCCATTGTCTCCCAGGGTTTAGATTTAGAAGATTTCCTGTCCTACAACAGATCTGTTGACTTGGACTCCCTGGAGATTAAACCCCAGGAAAACCGTATTTTTTTAAGCTCTTAAGGTAGGTCTGATAATTTCTAGGTATGCGGATCTCTGCACAATACACTGGAGCAGGAAGGAAAATGTCAGTAGGGATTTTCCACCACTTTGGTCTCACACAATGAAAGATACAAACGGTCCCCACCGACCCAAAAGGGACTTGGCCCTCCCCACAGAACATATTGCAAAGCCTGAACTAAAAATATGTCAGAACATTTGAGATCTCCCTAGAACTGTTAAAAGGGAAAATGCTATGTATTTAAAACTTGGTCAGTAAAGAAGAACTGAAAGCGAGAGAGTTTTCATAAATCCCTCCTCGTTCACGCTATATCATCCACTGAGAGAGGGCAGGGCTTCAGGTTGGCCAGATTCAAAAGGGCAGTGATCAGAAGAGGGCTGAGTGAAACTTTATTTCTTACTGTAGATGAAAATAAGAGGGCAAAATCACTTAATGCAGTTTCTGATGTTCACATGAAAGCCAAAAACGTGCAAATGAATTTATCTCAGTGAAAGAACTTCTCCTGAACTACACAACCAGAATCTAAAGGTTTATGCTTAACGATATAGATCCTTAAAGAATCTGCTGTTGTACTTTCTTCTAGGACAAAGGAGATCTGGGGTGACACAATCTGAAATCTATCTCCTAAGACACAAAGTTGATTTTATAAGTAGATGTTTTCAAGCATTTGCGTGTTTGCAGGCACACACACACACACACACCTCCCAAAACTAGTTTCCCAGAAACCATGCTCAAACCATGAAACCACAAAAGTAATGACTGAACCTAGCAATTATCCACCATGGATCCTCTTTAAATGGGCAAAGGATGTGAATAGACCTTTTTCCAAAGAAGATAAATAAATGGCCAATGAGCACATGAAAAGGTGCTCAACATCACTAATCATCAGGCAAATGCAAATCAAAACAGCAATAAGATACCATTTCATATCCTCTAGGATGGCTAGAATTTTTTTTTTTTTGTGGTACGTGGGCCTCTCACTGTTGTGGCCTCTCCCGTTGCGGAGCACAGGCTCTGGACGCGCAGGCTCAGCGGCCATGGCTCAGGGGCCCAGCTGCTCCGCGGCACGTGGGATCCTCCCGGACTGGGGCACGAACCCGCGTCCCCTGCATCGGCGGTGGACTCTCAACCACTGCGCCACCAGGGAAGCCCCGGCTAGAATTTTTTAAAAAAATAAACAGAAAATAGTAAGTGCTGGTGAGGATGCGGAGAAACTGGAACCCTCACACATCGCTGGTGGGGATGGAAAATGGCGCAGCCATTCTGGAAATCAGCTTGGCTGTTCCTCAAAAAATTAAACACAGCGTGCACGGAAGGACTAAATGCAGCAGCGGAGCTACTCATGTTTAGATACATAGAGACCTCTGCCCACCTGCAGGCAGGAGAGAGAAGCCCGGCTCGAGTTGAGAAGACGAGATGATCTTGAGCAAATCAGAGCAAACATAGCTTGGCCCCAAACGGAAACTAGTCCTCTTATCTCCCTGTGCCTCTTCACTCCCCCAATATTTAGAAGATGTTCCGATGTCGTTTGCTATTTTTGCTTGGACTTCTTACTTTGATCCGAGATGGCCTGATATTTACACAAGCACAAGCCTGCTCTCAAAGTGCAGAGCAGGAAAAGGTCGGGGGCTACCTGATGATCTCCCAGGTTTGGGGAGGGGCCTTGGTGCCTGGTCCAGGCAGATCTCCGGTGAGAAATAAGAACGTCAATAACCAGGGTTGGGGGGGCTTCCCTGGTGGCGCAGTGGTTAAGAATCCACCTGCCAATGCAGGGGACATGCAGACCTGGTCCGGGAAGATCCCACATGCTGCGGAGCAACTAAGCCTGTGAGCCGCAACTACTGAGCCCACGAGCCACAACTACTGAAGTCCACGCACCACAACTACTGAAGCCCGTGCACCTAAAGCCTGTGCTCCACAACAAGAGAAGCCACCGTAATGAGAAGCCCGTGCACCACAACGAAGAGTAGCCCCTGCTCGCCGCGACTAGAGAAAGCCTGTGTGCAGCAACGATGACCCAACGCAGCCAGAAATAAATAAATTAAAACAAAACAAAACAAAACAAAACAAACTAGGGTGGGAATCAATTGGAGCGACGAGAAAAACGGTGAACCTGAATGCGGCCACCTCCTTCCTTCCTCAAGAAACAGCCCAGGGAAACCACAAGCAAAAATGAGGACAAATCCAGAACTGAGCTGGTCTCTTCAACAAGCCAATGGAGAGACGGAAAAAAGGGAGAGCGCACCGTTCATAGTCTGGAACCAAACACAACCTGTGCACATTCTTTGGATTCTGATTGAACAAATCAATTGTAAAAAGATATCTGGGGAATACTCAAGGCATTCTGAATATGAACAGGGCAGTAATGACATTTTAAGTGACGATTACTTACGATTACCTATAGTGGTATTGTGGCTCTATAAGAAACCTTCTTGGATCTTATAGATGTACAGTGTCAGGGAGCTGCTTTACCACACACCCCACAGATCCTTTTTAAATGTTAATGATTGTTCAATCTAGATGTGAGTTTTAAATCTAGATGGGAATTTACTGCGCTATTCTTCCTAGTCATTAGATCATTCAAGCACACTATGTCTATTTGCAAATATTCATAATAAAAAGTAACTGGCCGAAGCCACGCTCCCTTTCAAGAACTAGTTATAATATTGCTTTGCCAAACTTCCTCACCGCTCCTCCAGAGGAACCCAGAGGACCCGTTCCATCACCCTCCACCCCTCATGTATTGAAAGGAGGAGGTGGAAACAAATTTAAGGCATTAATTAACCACCTATTTGTCTCTTACTAAGAATGCACTGGGTTTGACGGTGTCCCCATTTGAGAGACACGTGACAGCTGCCAACCCAGTGTTCTTTTTTTTTTTTTTTACGGTACACGGGCCTCTCACTGTTGTGGCCTCTCCCGTTGCAAGGCACAGGCTCCGGACGCGCAGGCTCAGCAGCCATGGGCCCAGCATGTGGGATCTTCCCGGACCGGGGCACGAACCTGCGTCCCCTGCATCGACAGGCGGACTCTCAACCACTGCGCCACCAGGGAAGCCCCCCAGTGTTCTTAAGTCTAATTATCTTAACAGAACAAAAACAGAGTCACTGATGTTTCTCCCCTTCAAGTGCCCATCATTCATCCATTCATTCTCAGCACGATGTTACCTCGTGGGTGTCGGGCACGAGGCCTGGCACTGAGATTGCAGCAACAATCAAGACAGCCCTGGTGCCCGCCCTCTGGCACGGCCAGCCTGGTGTGCCTCACTGTGAGGACCGACACTCGGAACACAGCTAAGGCACAAGTGAATGACAAAGCGCCGCAGACAGCACAGGTTTTCCAGGAGTCACAACAGGCTCCAGTAGGAGAAGAGAATTTGGAATGGCCTCAAACCACTCAAAACACGAACAGGGATTCTTAGGCTTATGAATGGGCAGGAAATGACAGTAGGTCTGAGTGAAGTTTTTCTGTGGACAGACGAATGCCAGCCAGCCTAAGTTGGCAGAAACCTACAAATAGATGCCCTGGGGAGGTGTGGGTACGGAGAGGAAATGCCCTGAGGCCACCTGAGGTCTACAGGGACAGGCACGGGCTCTGTCCACATTGCGCGCTCAGGCAGCCCACAAGCTCCTGGGACAGCGCCGTCCTGAGTGGTGCCGTGTGCTGTAGCCACAGCACACCCTCCTTTCAGCCTGGCCCACACGCATCCCAGCAGAGGACAAGGGGACGGTCTCCTGTCCCTCTGTACCAGGGAAGGGAACTCACGAGCCAAGAGCCGGAGAGGGGTCAAGTGCTCACTTGCGCAAAGAGGCATCCATTCACTTTCTGGTCCTCTATCCGAAAAACACGGGCACAGTGGCCGGAGGAAAAGGTGTCTCAGTGGAGAGTACCGGTGAGGAAGCTACCCTGCGAGGATGTGTAAGTTCCCTACAGCCGTCGTAACAAACTGCCACTCACTGGGTGGCTTACCACCACAGAAACGGATTCTATCACAGTTCTGGAGGCCAGCAATCCAAAACCAAGAGGGCAGCGGGGCTGCATTCCCTTCAAAGGCTCTGAGGAGAATCCTCCCTTGCGTCTTCCAGCTTCCGGTGGTTCCAGGTGTTCTTGGCTTGTGGCTACATCACTCCAGTCTCTGCCTCCTCTTCTGTGGATGTGTGTCTCCTCCTCTGTGTCTTGTAAGGACCCTTGTCATTGGATTGGCCCAGCGGGATAATCCGGGATGATCTCATCTGCAAATCCTTATGGTAATTACACCCGCCAAGACCCTTTTTTCCAAATCAGTTCACAGCCACAAGTTCTGGGGGTCGGGATGTGGACCTATCTTTTGAGGGGGCCGCCATTCACCCTACTACAGAGTACAAGCACATCAAGCACCCACCCGGTGCAGGAGACGCAGTGACACTGTAAGTGTGCCACTGCATCAAGCCAGCCAAAACGGGTGGGTGGGTTTTAAAAAAAGAAAAAGCAAGACCAAACTTACTTCTCTTCGGAAATCAACAACATCTGCTTTCATTTCACACTCTAAATCAATAATAGGCAATGTTACTTTGTTCTTCAAAATAGAATCCTACTAAACCTACAAGCCTTGGTTTCCTTGTCTGCAAAATGGAAAAAATAACAGCATCTACCCCATAGTGGGGATTATGGGAGTGAAAGCACAATCTTGCACAGAGGAGTGTCTGCACTTCATAAGTTAGTTTTATTATGATCATTATCACTATCGTTATTCTTGTTCTTGAGGACCCTATGTCTCTTCAACTCTCCTTTGACTATCATCTCCCCTTTACTGACACCTCTGCATGCGCCCCTGCTAACCCAGCAGGACAAGGGGCAACCTGATTTCTCATGTGTTTCTTTGCAACAGGCTAATTACAAAGCCCCTCCAGGATATAAACCTAAAACACTATAGACATTGCAAGCCTGGAAAAATATATTGTTTGCCATTAGACCTTAGAATATATGACAGGTCACGTGAAGTGAGCATACGCTTTACTTAAAGTATTTCTGTTTACTTCTATCCCATCTTGTTTCAGAAGGGACTCAGATACATTCAAACACACACACTGTTACACTTAAAATAAGTGAAAAAATAGGTAAATGAGGGGAAAAGAACAAAAAGAAATAAGATTTGAGAGATATTTGAAAAAATAAAATGAGTAATATCAGTAAAAAAAAAATTATGCTGCAATATTTTGTACACTTGTTAGGAGCGGCCACAATCTGGCTCTAAGCTCTGGAGCACGTGATACAAAGGTAAAGGCTGACCTGCTAAATTATTCATCGTGTCCTTAAGATTAAAAACGCAGGGGGGAGGCAGAAGAGGAAAAAGACATTTGCTCCGAAGAACTGCAATATTCCTGGTAGTGGGAGAGCAATCTCTCTTTTGGGCCATCTTAAAGAAAGCATGATGTATTCGTTGCTTTTCTAGATTTTAACTAAATGTTTTCAGGTGGTCTTTATTTTTACATCCAATGTCTTCCTGATTCCCCCCATGAGAGGCAGGATCAACTAAACTGAGAGTTTTCAGGTTGATAAAAGTAAGGAAGTGTTTATGTATAGATAGGGGTGTAAATGATGGAATACTGCTTTTTTAGGATAGGTAGGCACACAAACAGGATTTCATGATAAAAATAAAACCATTTTTTAAGACAAAAACAAAAGTTTTCTTTACATAAAGAATACTGAAAAGAAAATCAATATGCTCCATTCCCAACAGAAAGCCCTACAGTTTCCCATGTCCTCTAATCCTCGAAAACCAGAAGCAAGAAAGGAATTTAGAGAAGGTAAAGGGTAAGAATTACTGAACAGAAATACAGCAAGAAGCTTCCCATCAACAGTCATCCACGAGACCAGAGCCTTACCTCGGGGTCGAGGCTACAGTCTGAGAGGATGATAGGTCTTCCTTGTATGATAATTTCATATTTTCACGATCCTTTTTGCTTGGTTGTTTTTTGTAAATAATAAGCATAATATTTTGAACACGAAGAACAGTTTCACTTGCGGTGATCCACAGGTACCGCCTTAGTAAGGGTCTCTCTCACACAGATACACACACCCATGTGCATCCAAGCAGACGCGCACACGCGCACTTACCTTGTTAAGCCACTTCAGCCCTGGTATTGTGTTTGAGTTGATCTGTTCTTCCAGCCATGGGCGCATGCGCATCCTCTCCACCGGCATGGTGCCCTTCTGCAGGAGAGAATCACAACATCAGGCATTTCTACTACTCACTGTCATGTCTGCACCGTGAAGTCTGATACCCCTGCCTGACCCTCTTCTATTTTCCTCTTCCTCAAAACCGCACAGCTTATGTGTACATGGGGACTGGGGGGCTCTGAGAGCTTATCAGGGGCTTTGCCCTAGAGCCGCCCGCCCCTGCTTGAGTGCGGTGCTCATTCCCCAGGGGCCATCTCGGTGGGGCGGTGGTACAGGCCACTCCTGCTCTCAGCTGAGAGTGTCCCATGACACAGAAACTCAGCCAGTCACAGGGCCCGGACACCTAACGCTAGGCTGTGTTTACGGCAGGTACCTTCAGTGTATCAGGTACTCAGAGGACCAGGGCCTGACAAATACCTTTGGGTATTATCCTTCCAAGAGCCAAGGGTGGACAGAGTAACCAAGTCATTCCTCGAGGGTATCTGGGTTACAGACGTGCAACGAAGCCCCGGCATGGGCACTTCCAAGCGCTTACGGAATCAATTCACGCGGTTCCAAGGCCTTTCACCCACTGGCCACCCCTCCTGATGTCGTCTGTCTCGCTGCAGAGTGCACCAGCCTCTAGCTCTGGCTTCAGCATCGCTCTGACGTGAAAGCATCTCTTATTTTTCTTTTTAGTACTTTTTTTTTAAGATTAATTTAATTAATTGATTGATTGATTGATTTTATTGGCTGCGTTGGGTCTTCCGTTGCTGTGCACTGGCTTTCTCTAGTTGCAGGGAGTGGGGGCTACTCTTCGTTGTGGTGCGAGGGCTTTTCATTGCAGTGGCTTCTCTTGTTGTGGAGCACAGGCTCTAGGCACGCAGGCTTCAGTAGTTGTGGCACACGAGCTTCAGTAGTTGTGGCACGTGGGCTCAAGAGCGCAGGCTCAGTAGTTGCACACGGGCTTAATTGCTCCGCGGCATGTGGGATCTTCCCGGACCAGGGCTCGAACCCGTGTCCCCTGCATTGGCAGGCGGACTCTCAACCACTGCACCACCAGGGAAGCCCGAAAGCATCTCTTCTTTGGAGTGTTCCCTCAAGGGTCTTTCCTCACTGCCATCCGCCTCCTCTGGCCTGGGGTCACCTGTCCTCCACCAGCCCACATAACACTTCTCTCCCCTCCTTCCAGATGCATTTCTAGACAGTCTTTCCCTTGTCCACCTAAATACACCCAGAGCGGGGTCACTAACACAGTGCTGTCTATCACTCATCTTCAGCCTGTTTACACGGAAGTTTAAATTCGATGCAGGATTCAAAAGCAGAGACAATGGCGACCAAGCATCCATTCCATAGGACTTCGTGCACAGTGGGACATCATCCTCTTTTCAACCCTTGGCTGCCTCATCTTTCCTTTATTCATTTTCTCCTCCAAAAATGAGCTCTGAATATTCTATTCAGATGACTTCAGGCTGAGATGGTCAAAGTCTCAGTAATCTCCTCGTCCAGCTCACAAAGGCCTTCCTGTCTCCCCTACGTGCAGCTCGCACCAGAGGGCAAGCGCCGCTAGCCGCCACCTGGGGCCCCGCCCTCTGCCTGTAGAGCCTAATTCATTTCTAGAACTAAATCCTAGCCCCTGCCTTTCCCTTGGCCCTCTGCCCCACTTCTGACCTACTCGCTGCCTCAGACACCGCCTGCCGCTGCCTCTCTGCTCCTCCTTCCTGGCCTTGCCAATCCCCAGCCGTCCTCCAAGACGCAGCCTCCGCCCTCCTCCACTACGAGCCCCCCACCTCCGACGCTCCAGTGGAAGGAATCCGTCCCCCTCCAGGCCCCACAATGCCCAGGGATCCTGTACTGCTCATTTGAAAATCGAACATTGCGACAGGGCAGCTATTCCAATGTTGTCTTTCTTCTTATCTAATAACTCTTATCTTAAATGTAAACTTTTCAGCTGTGCTCAGCCTCTCTTCCTAACCAAAGTGTAAATTCGCTGGGAGTAGGAACTCTACCTCTTCTAGGTCTTTGGCTAATGCTACAAAGCCTAAATGCGGCCGTCACCCCCGCCCCCGCCACCCCGAGATGTGCAATACAAGGACCAGGCCAGTTCTGAAGACCAGCCAAGGTGCGGTCACCATGGCAGGCTGGCCCCGTCCACTCATCTGGTGGCTTCAGGAGTGACAGGAACTGCAGGGACAGTCCAAAAGGACATGGAACGGCCCCAGGGAGCCCCCAACACAGCTGCTCTGAGTGGGTCTCAAGTTGTTCCACTCACTCACTCTTTCACCCACCCACTCAAAGATCATCTATCAAGAGTGATGTTCCAGGAATAGGAAGAAAGAAGACAGTCCCTGCCATCTAGGGACTCCCAGTCTAGCGGGAGACAGGGGAGAAGATAATTCCCACAGCCCACGGAGCATCCTGTGTCCAGGATGATAAGAGGATTTATGGAGAGTTCTGGGAGCATCAGGAAAAGCTGTCCACATTAGATGCACTGGGTAAGTGTGCACTGTAAGGGCTCTGCCCAGTCAACCCGGTCAGATCCTCCTTCTTGAGAAGACCTTAAGACACAGAAAGGGCGCAGCTAAGTCAGGGCAGTAGGAAGAGTAGCTACGTAGTGACACGCGCTTCCGAGGGGACAAGATGACAAGCTCGGCAACAGGGAAACACGCCCCTGCTTCCAATCCGTCATTATAATAACATATTCCTCCCCATTATTTTTTTATTTTTATTTTTATTTTTTTGCGGTACGCAGGCCTCTCACTGTCGCGGCCTCTCCCGTTGTGGAACACAGGCTCCGGACGCGCAGGCTCAGAGGCCATGGCTCACGGGCCCAGCCGCTCCGTGGCATGTGGGATCCTCCCAGACCGGGGCACGAACCCGTGTCCCCTGCGTCGGCAGGCGGACTCTCAACCACTGCACCACCATAGAAGCCCCCTCCCTTATTTTTTTTCACAGACAACCCATTTGGAAAAAACAGTCACCTGAAATAGTTCAAAAAGCTTTCTGTCTTTAAAACTAAAGCCTATGTGGGGAGATACAGTCAATTTTCATTATTCAAGGATTCCATCTTTGCAAATGTATATAAATATATTTATAACACCCAAATCAATCCTCAGGGTGTTTTCCTGGCCCTTCACAGACATGCACAGAGAGGTGAAAAACTTGAGTTATCCAATGCACACGCTCCCAACTAAGGTCAAACGGGTGACACTCGGCCTTCTTATTTCAGCTCTCACACTGTAAGTATGCATCCTTTTCACAGTCTACCTAGTGCAACATTTTTCACATCTTCCTGCTGTTTGTTGGTGATTTTGCCGTTTAAAATGGCCCAGAGAGCGGTCCGTCTGAAATGCGATCTAGCATTCCAAGCTGTGATGTGCCTTATGGATAAAATATGTCTGTAAGATAAACTTCCTTCAGCCATGAGTTACAGTTTGTTGGCTTTGAGATCAACGTTACTGAATCTACAATACATATTAAATATGGAGACTTTAAATAGAGACACACATAAAACAAGATTATGTATCAATGGGTTGAAGAAAATGTTGTGACCAAAGGCTCACAGGAGCCTAATGTCTTTAGAAGAAGAGGGAAATTTGGACACAGACACACACACAGAGAACCTCATGTGCAGACAAAGACACAGGGCAGATGGCCATGTGAAGACAGAGGCAGAGGCCAGAGTGATGCAGCCACAAGCCAAGGACTGCCTGAAACCACCAGAAGCTGGAAGAGGCCAGGAACGATCCTCCCCTAGTGATCTGAGAGGGAGAACAGCCCTACACTTCAATTTTGTGCTTCCAGCTTCCAGAACTGTTAGAAAATACATTTCTGTTGTTGGAAGTCACACAGTTTTTGGTACTTTGCTATGACCGTCCTAGGAAACCAGTATAGAAGGTAAGATACTGAGTCAGAAAATAGGGCTCCTACCCCATCTACAGGTAAAGGAAGGTGAGGAGGGTAGGCAGTGCAAAGGTCCTGCGGCAGGAGGGCCAGCTGCAGAAGGCAACCAGCAATAGGGATGATGCCAGAGACAGGCTGACCCTGCAGGCCTGGGAAACCATGTCTAGGATTTTGGTCATCGACCCAAGACTAAAGAGAAAACTGGAGATTTATACCAATGATCAGTGTTGTATGATCAGTGTTGTTAATAGCAAAGATAAGAGCTGGTTACAAAACCTAGACCAGTGCTTCACCGACATTGACGCACATACAAATCTCAATTCAGCAGGTTTTGGTGAGCCCTGGGATGCTCTATTTCTAACAAGCTCCTAGGTCCTTGGACCACACTCTGCGGAATAAGGCTCCAGACTCACCTGGCTCCTCTGCGACTTGCTACAAAGTCTGGTCATCCTGGCAGACAGGCCTCCTCTACTAGTCTCAGTGTGGCAGGTGCTGCTGTATCATCTACCCATTGGCCCAGTCCCTATTTCCATCCTGTGTGTTTCTAACACGGATGCAGCTCAGCCAAACCTCAACATTTTCACTCACCTAGCCAAAACACTACGGAAATCACACGTGTAAAAACTGTTCTAAGTCAGTCATCAGGGCTGTCATTAATTACAAGCAGATTTTTAGGAAAAGCAAATATAGCAAATACCTGATCCAAGTAGGGAAAACTCTATTATCAAGGTCTTCACTTGTTTCAGGTTCTATGGTGTTGCTGTTTTTAACGGCTAGGACATCCCCGATGATACGCAATGAAAGGTAACCCTTTTACCTGGAGGCACTTCCTCTGTCTTACTTGATTTTACAGCCTACTCCCCTGCCCCCTGCCACAAACACACTGAACAGGTAATGAATTTACCTGTCTTGCCACACAGCCCAGAATCAAAAGGTTGCCACTTGACATAGATTTCTCATGACTCTCAGAGGTCAAGTATGCATCCTCCGGTGGAAGAAAGGAAAGGTAGACTTCTACGTGCAGCTAGCACCAGAAACTCATGCCTACGTGGCGTGTGTTTTCTAGCTTCTATCAGTGAAATTCAGGATGATAGACTGGTCTTCCTTCTTTAAGGCAAGTTTCCCATGGGCAGCAACACACAGGCCAGCGT